GTAACAATATAACAATGTAGCAATATTATGCAACTTCAAGTTTTCAATTTTTCTCTCCAAAATTCAATAATAACTAATCATTTGCACTTTTTTTTTTTTTATATAGGTACAAACATTTAGCTCATACCTCCGTTATGACAATTTTCAACTCAAGAAATCAAACCCTTTCGAGTGATGTATTTGACAATGCCCAAGGTCTCATAGATTAATTTACTCAAATCTTGCCTAAAAGAATTTCAAGTGCCACAGCTATTGGGGATTCCCTTTTGTTATTGAACAACCTCAAGTTTTTTTTTGCCTATTCTTTTTTCAACTCAAATTAGTTATTTCTTAATAATGAATTCCCTTTGTTTTAATAGAATCTGTATAATTATAGCAAGGATTCAATCTGGCAAATGTTTAGACCCTTTGTTAATATCTGCTACTCAATAAAAAAGTTTATTCACTTCAAATTTTACAAAATATCTTAAATCACGTACACTAAGAATAAGACTTATATTGAAATAACCTTTTAGTGATATTAGTTTAACCAATGTCAAAAACAGTTGATTCTATTAACTTATAACTGTAAATAAAGATAAATTTTCTACTGTCCTAAAACGTGTTCTGCAGAAACAAGAAAATTGTGTTTAACAAAGTTGCTTAGGCCTCAATTCTTACATGCAGTTTCTGTCGGTCTTTTCTTTGTTCTTCCAAAAAACTGCACAAAGTTTGAAGCAAAGAAAAGTCTTGGTTTATGGTCTTAACAGTTCTACTTACCAGTGATCTTCTGGGCACAGAACAAAGTTTTTATTATTGCACTACACCTCATCAACTAGATATCAATACTGCGACATATTGAAAAAAACAAAACTAAAACCTTTTTTTTTTATGACCACATGCATGTTTCTGATGGGAACTATCAGAAAACAGACATATAAGAAAATTATAGATCATTTCTACAAGAATTAAACAATAACCGAATAAATATATTAGTTGTTATGTAAACAGGTGGTGACAAATTTATTAAAATTTTTGAACTAGTCAGTGTTGAAAAAAAAAATCAAACTAAAATACACAATTAAGTTTTAACGTTACAAACAAATAAGGTTATCATCATATCCGATGATGGATAAAACTTCTACCAAAACTAAAAATAAAATTAAAGATTTCTTATGAAAATCTAAACTTAATTCAAGTTTGACCGTGCATAACTGGTTTGAACAATCTACACCAAAACAAACACCAGAAAATCAATACACAATACTTACGTTGTCAATTCATAGGTGCTCGATGATGCAAATATGCTAAAAGAAAAAACGGTGATTGCTGTTTATTATAAACAAATTATTTAACTGCGATTTACCTTGTCGATCAAATTTAATATCTCAAATGAACTAAAACTTACTCTTAAAAGGCAGTATTCATGCTATCCCAAGGTCATTTCAATAATATTTGTAAAAAAAAATACAAGATACTAGGTTTAATTTACACATTTTGATTATGGATTTAGGATGATATTAGTCAAAATATGACAAATAATATCAAGAAAATCTATAATAATATTCAAAATACAATATTTTTTTTTCAGTGAATCTGATGGAGAACCCCCCCCCCAAAAAAAACAACAACTCAGTAATCATATTTTAGTACTTGTTAACTATGTTACAAAAATATAATAATGCT